AAAATGTCTCCCTTTAAGTTGGTCTGAGAAAAGTGGTACCTGTCGGTGTCTATGCCAGAAGCTCTCTGGATTAACTTTTTGACAGTTGTAGAGTCTCAGCCCTTCACACTGCTCTTCTCAGAGCTACTGAGAGAGCAAGTGATAGTAATCCCCAGGCAGGGCTACTTTTTCTGCTATGATCCAAAAGCAAGCAGAAGAAGGACAGGCAGATCTGAGTAGTCACATGGCTTTGGGATGTGTAGTGTAGTGTAGTGAGCATGTAGATGGCTTTTCATGCTAGATTGATTTATTGCAGCCCTATTTCACATAGACCGCAGTGCATTTTCCTTCTTCTATAGGTTTTCCAGAGCAATTAGATGGTCTGTTTCACTCACATTTAATTTATTTTAACAGATGTAAGCCTGTGCTTTTAAGATGGGATTTGTGGTCAGGGTTGTTTTTTTGTTTTTTTTTTGGAAAAACAGCTGGATTATTAGCAGCCCTGATGGCCTGGTGGCTAGGATTCAGTGCTCTCACCACTGCAGCCTGGGTTTGATTTTCGGTCGGGGCACCTCTAGCCACAGGGGTTGGAAGCCAGTGACCTCTATGCCGGTCCCAAGCCCGGATAAATAGAGAGGATGGGCCAGGAAGGGTATCCGGCGTAAAAACTTGCCAAATCTACCATGTGAAGCATCAGTGTGGGCAAACAGATGATTCGCTGTGGCGACCCCTAATGGGAGCAGCTGGGTTATTAGCACCAGAAAACTGGGGTGTTTTCTCCAATCTCAGTTTTTAATCACAAACATTGCTACAGATCCATTATCAGATGCCCAAAGCTACGATTGTGTCTCAGTCCCAGAGCTGATGCTGGTCAAAGCTAAGTGCGTTTGTCTGTCTGTGTGCAACAGTAAATTTAAAGCAGCGTCAATTTATATTTTCTTTTCTTTTTTGGCAACTTGGACCAATGAAATATCACTTCCTGCAGTTGCTACCATGAATGACTTGTCAAACAGTTGCCTATTAATATATCTAATAGTCACAAAGCAACATTAGCATTTATTGGCCACCCGACAAATAAATGTCCAATATTCATGTTCTTTTAAACTCCACTGTTTTCTACACCAAATCCTGAGAGAGATATCTGTCTCTTTAGCTGCTAAATGCTCCACTGTGGCTGCTAACACTATCTCTTTGTTTGCTGTAACTGGAAACAGTCAATAAAAAGAGTTGCAGGCCATAAAACCAAAACAATGAGCTGAAAGATGCTAAAACATGCTGTAAAATGGAAGTGAACTGCAGTAATACTTTGCTGCTTTTCCTTTCATTTAGTGAACTTTATTATGGTTTTATTAGTTAACTTTGTATCACATATCAGATCATTAGCATATAGTAGCTTGCCATTCTGAGGCACTTTGGGTAAATATGTCCACCAAAACATGAGCCATAGTTAAATGTGGAATGCTGCAAAACACATTTCCACTTTGACAATGCTAATGTATGTAAGACAAAATGAAAGCTACCATGTGGAAGGTTTGCCCTTTGCTTGCAGTCTGCCTCATATTGATGTGACTAAGGTTAGAAAGGAGATGGTGTGTTGCTCTGCTAGTTTAAGAAGCAAGCAGTGGATTATTCATCTTTAATCTCTCATTTTTACCTCATTTTCTTCCTCATCTCAGCCAGGAAATTAAACATGATTTTGATTTTTTTTTACACCTCTGTTGTGACATTGTGCCAGGCATTTTAAATGCCGATTGGCTGGCTGGAAGGTTTCTGCTTTGTTACTTTTCCAGCTCCTGTTAGCAGGGATTTTAATTTTAATTAATCACCGTGAATTCAGACCTTTCTTCGGCTTTAGCCAGCCTCAGGACTTTAAGCTAGCACACAACCAAACTCATTACATTACTGCACTTTGGCAGCAAAACTCCCTTCAACTTGATTAACTTGGTCTAAACTTTCTGACAAGCTGGAAGCTTCTCTGTCTCAGCTGAAGTATCAGGTTACACAAGCAGTGAAAGTGGCTTGTAAACAGTGTTGATAAGCAATCTGTGGTTATTTGTTACTCATACACAATTAACCAGTGTTTGTTGCCTTAATTAGGCAGTCACGTTTTCCTCCTACGCTGTCTTCCCCCAGGCTCCTAAAATGGTGGCTGTCAGCTGCACTCCATCTTTTTCCTTCTCTCTGGCTTGACTCTGTCACAGTGAGCAAAAATGCACGATCCCTTCATGACTGAGTGATTAAGGGAAGTTGTAAGACACTGGAGCTGCATGTTGATTTTATTTAAACAATTTTGTAAGCATTTGTATCTTGCCTGCTTGTTGCCAAAGGTGTGGTGACATAGCACAGTGCAAGTCACTACAGTCCACTGAGTAAATGGCAGTTCCACTGAAATGTACTTTGAGGTTTAGGTTATCTTGCAAAAGTAAATTATGTGCCATAGACTCAGCAGCTAAAACTGTGTTCAGAGAATATACAAAACCAAAACATAAATGAACAAATGTTTAGTTTGTGAGTTTGGTTTTTTTCTTCCAACTTCAGCTGATGTGATTCACTGAATGTGTTACAGTAGGTAAATGTGTAGTTATTGTAAACAGTATGGAACTAATGGAAGCCCAGGATAATGCTTGATGTCAAAGGAGACTTCCCATCCAGTACAAAAGTGGATTTTCCCAAAAAGTGTCATCTTTTATTTTATAATTATAATTATTAACCAATTAAAATACATATGTAACAACAAGACAGCCATGTTAGCAGCACTGCGAGACTGTAGTTAGCATGTAGTTAGGCACGAGGATGTAGTTAGCATCAGCGTGCTAACATGCTGATGTTTAGCATGTATAGCATTTACTATGTTTGCTATGTTCATGTTGCAGATATTTGGTATTGGAAACATTAAAAAAAGAGTCATTTTATTCTGGGAATGGGACATGATGTGTGTGTGCACAAGAATTCCTATATACCTAGACTGTCTGTTTATGTATAAATGGCAAATAAAAATCTTCAATCTTGAATCTTGATGTAGATTTGTCAGTGCATAAGTGAAAACTGACCTGATGGTGGTGCTAGGAGCAAGGTCCAGGGTCCAGTGTCATTAGTAATCATCCATAAGTGTTTGTACAAAATTTCAATCCACCTTTCAGTGTGCTAGTGGCAGACATATTGCAGTCCCCAGAAACACACTGCTAGTGTGCTGGAAAATCTTTTTCTAAAGACAGATAAGATAATTATAGACTCACTGCATCCACTGACAGTATGCCTTCATAATGACAGTATCTCACACAACACTTGGCATTCGTGATTGGCTGGTGATTGTCTAATTATAAGAAAGTGCATCTCTCCCTCTGGCGAGTTTATAATATGCTTGTAATGTGTCACTAGGGAGTATCTTGTGAAGCAAATAAAGTCAGCTATAATTAGAACCAACATTGCCCTGATATGTTGAAGTGATATCCTGGAAGAATGAATCAAGCCATCACAAAGCGGAGAACCAGTGCAGACTGGCTGTGTGAGAGGCCACCTCATCCCCTCTCCATTCTCTTTAGGGGCTCTCTACAGCTCTGAATAATTCAACAAAGCAAACGAGGTCTGGCAGACTAGGAGAGCAGATATGGGCTGAAGATGATCTCGGGGCACGGGTACCAGGAAATTGACTTTCTGACGTCAGAATAAGCTGGACAAGCATGCTTGGATGTGTAAATGTGTGTATTAGGTGAGCAGTGTTGGGCATTGGTGTATAAGTCAGACAAGAGAGAGCTGGAAACCAAGTAAGAATATCTCTTTGTAACAACTTCTTTCTCCTGTGAGATAGTTTAATAATAAGCCCAATCGTAGGTGTTGAACAATCTTCATTCATCTCTAGAGAGACCACATAAACAGATGGCTTGAATGATAGCATGCTAGAAAGCACACAGTGTCTTGACATTTGAGTCCAGATGATTGAACAGGGTTGTACTTTTGTGATGCAGATGACTCCAGAGTTGAATATTTCACAGTGCTGACTGAATTATGACTTGCTTGATGCAAAATGCTGGTGAAATTTAAAGGGGGGGTCCCAATTAATAACCTCAGCGACTAACCTGACAGGTTTCTAATGAGGTAGTCAGCCTAATTTACAAGTACAGCAAAGAGATAAAGATGTATGTGATGGCAAATATCCCCTAATTAGGTTCAGCTACAGTTCAGGAGGGGGTCTCTTATCCAAGGAAGAGGCACCACCCCCCCAGGTCACACTTTTGGTCAGTTAAGAAATATCTAATTAAATTTTCAAAGACAGTCATAATGGGTCCTACTAACTTTTGTGATCACAAAAGTTAGCTCCTGTGGTGGAATAAAATACCCCAGTGATCATTTTCTAGAATACCATAAATGTTTTCTGTATTCAGATAATCATTAACATAAATCCCATTTGTAAGCAAAACAAATATGCTATTTTTAAAATGAATGTCTAATTATTATTTCATGCACTATAGTGTTGGTAGAAGGTGCTGTGTTGGACACAGAGCTACACTGACTGGTTGATAGGTCCCAGTGCAGATATCACAAGGAGAAAGTTCAAAATGGATAGGTATGGCGTTCATTGTTGTTGTTTTACAGATCCAGTATTGTTTTCTCTACCGATTGAATATTTATCTATAGCTGTCATTACAGAGAGCCAAAGTCTTACCCTCGTGTGTGTCACTGAGTGAGGTTAATCCAAAACTGCTTAAAGCAAATCTTATGCTGTCATTTTATTTTTTAAATGAACACCTTGCAAGAGGAGGAAGCACCAAAGAAGCAATCGCATTTCCACTTATGATTATTGCTGTGGTTTAGAGCAAAGACTCATTAGAAAAGGGAAAGGGCTTGTTTACAGGAGGGCATCAGAGTATGTCACAGTCAGGGAATCATGACGTTACTACTAGGACAAGAACAACGGAAAAACACCTATGATTGAAATGCTATGTTCTTTAAATGAGTGCGACTGAGTGGCATGTGACTGACAAAAAGAATCCTAATCTCTGTCCCTGCATTTGTGTCTCCAGGTGCCCCTGGTTGACAAAGGTCATCTCTCCCGCTGTGCCTCTCTACAATGGCCTGGTCTTCCTCTTTGTCTTGGCCAACTTCAGCATGGCAACCTTCATGGACCCTGGTGTTTACCCCAGAGGTTTGTATGCATGTGTGTGTGGGTGTCCAAATATTTTAGTGTCTGCAGATGGTGTAAATGCTTTTCCTAGGAGAAACCAGTATTACTACAGTAACATTTAACTGCCATCTAAAATATTAGTATCTTTTATAATGTAAATTTACAGTAAGTATGAGTAATGTTTCTTCTCTGTCAGGTTCACATGTACGGGGTTGACCTTTAATAGCACCACCCTACCCAGTATTTCAGTGTTTCATTAGCTTCCTTCTACAGTTTGTAAGGTCCACATACTCCTCATGCAGGACACGGGTTGGAGTTATACAAGTCTTCATGTTGCGAGGTATACGGAGTATCTCAGCTGTTCATCTTGTCAAACAGCTGCTCTCACTTACGTCAAACAGCCACAACATGAGAACCACCTGCCCAATATTGTGTAGGTCCCCCTGATGCCAACATAGCAGCTCGGACCCATCGAGGCATGGAGTCCACAAGACCTCTGAAGGTGTCCTCTAGTATCTGACACCAAGACATCAGCGGCAGATCCTTTAAGTCCTGTAAGTTACGAGGTGGGGCTTCCATGGATCGGACTTGTTTTTCTCTCTGTCATGTTCCTCAAACCTTTCCTGAACCGTTTTTGCAGTGTGCCATTAGCCTGCTGAAAGAGGCCACTGCCATCAGGGAATACCATTATCTTGAAGGGGTGTAGGCCCTACTTGGTCTACACTATGTTTAGGTAGGTAGTACAGTATGTGTATGTGCACATGAATGGCAGGACCCAAGGTTTCCCAGCAGAATGTTGCCCAAGGCACCACAGTGCCTCTGCTGGCTTGCCTGCTTGCTATAGTCCATCCTGGTGCCATCTCTTCCCCAGCCACACACACCTGGCCATACACACGATGTAAAAGAAAACGTGATTCAGCAGACCAGGCCACCTTCTTCCTCTGCTCCGTGGTCCAGTTCTGATGCTCACGTGTCCATTGTTTACCAGTCTGGACCCAGGTTCATGTGTGGTACTGACCACTGCAGACCAAAGACAATCTGACCCAGTTGTCTAGACATCAAAGTCACTCAGATCCTTCCGCTTGCCCATTCTTCGTGCTTCCAACATAATAACTTCAAAAACAGACTGTTCACTTGCTGCCTAATATACCCCACCCCTTGACAGGTGCCACTGTAACGATATAATCAGTGTTATTCACTTCACCTGCCAGTGGTGTTAATGTTGTGGCTGATCAGTGCATGCTCCTTCTTCCCATGTGAAGTAATGATGATTGAACTCATTCCCCAGGAATGTTTGTAATGTGTTTGCAAACGATAAGAACTTTCCCTGCCCAGTCAGTGTAGGTACCTACCTCCCCACAGGGGGAAAGCAGCCTTCTGCTGCTTCTACTACCACCTGACTGGGCTTTCTAGATTACTGAGGGATGAGGACTTTTCTAAGCTCTTAAAGTAAACCCACCAGTAAAGTTATGATTAAAAAAAAATAAAGAACTGATATAGTCATTAAATAACATCTGTTCAGAGAATCACTCAGATCAATCATCCAGACTGTAAATGTGAGAGTGAAAGGTTATTGTGTACTAAAGATCTTTCCATTCAGGTCACTGACATATGGTGTAGCGATTTATTCTCATTTTCTTTGCTGGGGAAACTGAAAACTGAGCTAGTAGACAGATGAAAGAGATGACTGTGGGTAATAAGGATATACAGCTAAAAGCCAAAATAGCAGAAAGTTCAGCTATTTTCACAGTTTATTGCAGGTTTTACATAATGTTCTGCAATTTGCTGAACTCAGTGACATCTTAGATGTTAAAAGTTTCTTTGGTAAGTAAAAGGTGTTCTGGCATCACCAAAGGTCTTAGACTTCTTTGAATAAGCACCTCACATTTTTACTGAAAGCATGTCGTCGTCTTCACTTCAAGAGAGCACTGTGTGACTTTTGCTTTTTTGTTTGGCCAGCATAGGCAACCAGTAAAAGTGTAACCCGAGTGTGGTGTTGCTGGTGATGTGAGGTTTTTTTTAAATTCACATCATGTGAATTGACCTGTAAACTAGACCTGTATGACAGAATATCTTTATTTAATCCAAGATGTTACAGAATGTTTTGAATAAAGCCAACTAACCAATATTTTTATATCGATAATCAGTTGTATGTGTACTGGAAAACAGTGTAGTGACACCCCCACAGAGAACTGTCACCAGACTCTGCACTTCCCTTGAATTGTGACCATAAGGTATACGATAAATGCTAAAATGTAGCATAAGTGCATATATATTGGTAACAATAGCTAACATTAGCCATCATAAACTACTGGTCATACCAAACCAATTAAGACAATCAGCAAAATCCCTGGCTTCCATAGTCTTGCTATAAAATGTGTTTCTCTTGTATTCCCTAGTGCCAGACAAATAATGAGACAAGCTGTTGTACATGTATATGCTGAACAACCTAACAATCCAAAACCTTACTGTATGTTCCCCGTAGGCATTAGTCGTGGTCATGTAAATGCTGTATGCATTAGTGCCTGACGTTCATCCTCTCCCAAGTGTTACTGAGCAAAATACAGAGCCTCTGCGGTTTACACATGAGGGATGATACACAAGCACACACACGCTGACGCTGTAGTGGGAAATAAATGTCCTCAGGATGCTTCTCTGTCATTTAACAGCCTGACCTTGTTGGAAATAATATTCCAAAGAAAATGGAGCATGATTTTCCATAATGTATGTGCTGACCTTGATGTGAGCAATCATTTTGTCAGGGCAGATATCCATAGTTTATTTCAGGATTACTGGAATTTAACGGTGATAATAAGATACAGATGGCACATGCGTGTAAATGCAATAAGTACAGTAATAATACCTCATTCATCAGTGCTAAAAATAATTGTAAGAAAATCAATCATGAAAAATGTGTAAATAAGCATTTATTTATATATTACTGTATATTAATTTATTTAACTTATTTCAGGCAGAACTGAAGGTAATTGAGCCAGACTCTTTATTTTTGCAGTGTAAACATTTATTGCATGAAATAAGCCACTGTTTTGTCTGCTGAGCACCTTTTGCATCAAGCGTTTATAGACAAGAAGCTGTCGGAGGAGAAGCAAGTGTAACTGCTATTTGTGTCTGTTGGTTCACCTTTAAAATCTATTTGAAGTGACTTGAAAGCCACACTAACAGAGCAAGCTCCTGCTAGGGAGCAGTTTATGTCTGTGCACTGCTTTTGTTTCTCTCTTGCTTTTCGTCGCACTCTCTTTTGCTTTCTGTGTTTAGCTATCTGGATGCCTCTGCAGGTATTACTGTAGTGTGGTGTGATTTTCTCAGGTTCAAGCTCAGTGCAAATCATTTGAATGTGTCCTTTTGATGAGCTGAAAGACATTTTTCCATTGCAGCTCCAGAGTAAAAAGCGCAGAGTTACAGCAAAGTGGCACTGTGTATAAAGCTTCACATAAACAGTCACATCAAGGATAGTGAAAATTCTACTACTACTACTCTCATATTATAGTTTAGGGTTCATGTGTTTGCTTACATGTTTTGCTCATATAGGGCAAGGCATTAACTCTGATAATGTATGAATATAAAGATGTTTCATCAGACAGCCTAGTGCTCTTGTTAATTAGTCTTAATGTGAAGAGCAGAATGACTAGATCATGCCTACACGCAGGACTGAGCTTCATCACTTTGCTCCCTGCTTGTCAGATGGAGTCATAAAACAAAACCATGCTTTTTTCAGTACATTGCATGAATGTACATATACATACAGTACATATGTGTCTGTGTACTGTAAGCATCTGTGCTCTGTTAATGTGTTTGCCAGCGGACGAGGACGAGGACAAAGACGATGATTTCCGAGCGCCGCTCTACAAGAATGTGGAGATCAAGGGCATTCAGGTTCGGATGAAGTGGTGCGCCACCTGTCACTTCTACAGGCCACCTCGCTGCTCACACTGCAGTGTGTGTGACAACTGTGTGGAGGTGTGTGTCTGTGTGTGTGTGTATGTGAATCCCCAAATACACGTGCAAACTGAGAGATCTAAATATGCAGCGTGGTTAAATTAGGTTCATATTAGAATTCTGCAAACAATCTGTTGTCCTGCTGTATGAGAAATGTAATAGTTTTTTTTGCAAGGGATCATAATTACTGTCATAAATATTAGCTGTTGACAGATTGAGCTGTAAAGCATTAGGATTAATTTTCAAATCCCCAGTTTAGTTTTACTGAAAGTAGCACAAGCACATGTGAGGAGAGTTCTTTTTAACACACAACAATATTAAAATCAAGCATGGCCTTATCAGAACACTGTACATATACACACAGAAGACTTAAAATACATCCTGCATCCTGTTTTCTTTATGTTTGTCAAAACCAGGAAAAAATGGAAATACAGTCTGTTAAAGCCTGGATGTAGATTATTAGCATTTACACGTTAACTGATGACAGTAGTGTCACATGCTACAGCTACTCAGCAGGCAGTATTAGATATTACTCAGAATTACAAGCTATTATTCTACCAGCATTTGTTCCTCAGTTTGGTTTTCCTTAATAATCAAGAGACTTAAACCTATCGCCTTTATAGTGATAAGTGATGACGTATTAGTTCAACATCGTGAAACTTAAGTTTACAATCAGATTTAAAGGCCATGCCCAGATCCTTTGGAATAATATATGTACATTTTAGAAATGTAAGTACCTCCCTCCCTCATCAGGACTTCGACCACCACTGTCCCTGGGTGAACAACTGTATTGGACGGAGAAACTACCGCTACTTCTTCCTCTTTCTGCTGTCATTGAGCATCCACATGGTGGGAGTTTTTTCCTTTGGCCTCATCTTTGTCCTCCATCACAGAGAGAGGCTGGGTGCACTGCACACCACTGTCACGTATCCTTTTAACTGGGGGACATCTCACTGCATAGCCATGTTCTGTTTTTGGTTGGTTGTCTGTTTATTCTTTCACAGTAATGTTTAATGTTAGGAGCTTTGGCAGTCTGGAGGGGTCAGTGGGGTTATTCTAAGATTATATCTGCTCTTGTTCTTGTGACCTTATATGATTATTGTTGTTGCCCTTGACCTCTGTGTCCAGTCTGGTGGTGATGTGTATAGCAGGGCTTTTCTTTATTCCAGTCATGGGACTCACAGGTTTCCATATGGTGCTTGTCGCTCGAGGTCGAACAACCAAATGAACAAGTGAGGAGACAGCAGCACCAGGAGCTGCTGACATGCTTTTTCTGAATGTACACACACTTACAGACACTTGTTTAGCTAAAATCTGTGCAGCAACAAGTGAACACAGCTCTGTTGACCAGCTTCACATTCACACAGATCCATGCATTCACACCTAGAGCTGCCTGGCTGGTGGCAGCTGGGCTTGTTTTAGTGCATCTTCCAAATAGTTGGAGAATCTTGACAAGCAAACTCGAGTCACCACAGTGCAATACAGACACTCCAGTTATTATTGCAGTAGAACAATACAACTCAATACCAACCCAAAACAGCCTGTGTGGACAGACATAAATTAATTTAATTTAAAAAAAAGGAAACACAAATTCAGTATAAGAAAAAGTACAAATGTTACTGAACAGCACATGTATTCCCATACAAGCTAGTTAATGTGATGCTCAACATTATTGCTAACCTCCTTTGGACAACACACAGCATGTGTGTTGTGCTTTTTTTGTTGTTGCAACTCTAAACAAGGCATTGCGTTCCGCAGGTGACAGGCAAATTTCGTGGAGGAGTAAATCCCTTTACCAAGGGTTGCTGTGGCAACATGGAGTATGTCTTATGTAGTCCCCTGGCACCTAGGTAAGATGTTTTATTATGCTTGTGTGTGTGTGTGTGTGTGTGTGCGTGCGCGCAGTAGATTTTTTTCTGGGCCTATTCCTGTCAGTACATATCAGACTCTGTGAAGCTGTATTCTCTCACTGTACTTAGGAAGAAAAAGTAGGCAAGCTAGTTCATGAGTGTGTGTGTGTGTGTGTGTGTGTGTGTGTGTGTGTATGTAGATGTGTGCTCGTTTATACAGTGTGTAGGTGCAATGTAGGGTTGTGGTTCATGAGAGCCCATGACATCTATACCACAGCACTAGTGCAGCACCATCCAACTGCAGAGTTAACACAGTCTGTATCATTGTGTGAGTGAGTGTATGCACATGTTCTGAGGTGGCTGCAGAGGTTTGTATCCCGTTCTGTCTGAAAGCAGCCAGTGACCCTGGGGGAAGGCAGATGCCTGAGAGAATTGAATCGCGCTGTAGAACAACAGTCAATGGGTAACAGAGCACAGAGCTAGTCAATGTGCTTTTACACACATGCACAGTGTTGCTAAGACCCAGAACCCGAGATTTACATCCTACTGGGACAATTCCTGTTCCATAAAAATCAACAGTGTGACTGCAGAGAGACAAAAGCAGGAGAGGGTGAAATGCTGTGTTGCAAGCATCTGTCTATAAGTTGCCTCACAGTCCTTAATGAAAGGTTTTGGATTCATTGAACCACTAACGCAAAGGACACTGGACCTGACTAATGCTGAATGAACTGTTTTACACAGCAACATTCATTTAGTAACATGGACTTCTTTAATGTAGGGGTTGATTATGTAAAATTATGTAAAAACTATTAATAAAATACACCACACATTTTAATCCTCCAGCATCCACACTAACCATTAAACATTAAATGAAATCACAGCGACTGTCCTTTTATTGTAGGGGGGGAAAAACATATAAAAACACTTAAATGCTGGTTCGCTGTTGGGTAGTTGTTTGAAGTGTCTGTTTCTGAACCATTTAACTAGCCAAAGGGGATTGTGTGGATATAAAATTCATAGCTAATTTCATCTGTGTACTTTGTGCTTACTGTATATTCTAGAGAGATCAACATAGGTTGTTAGTGGAGTATACAGTTCAGTATATCAAGAAGGAGAAGACAAGAACAGTCATGTTTGCTCTTTGTTTGTGAATTCCCTTATTTTATTTATTTATAGACAAATACATATGCAGCACATATTTGTTAATGTAATATAGTGAGCAGTCTCATAATTGTTTGTGAGATTAACTGTATGAGTTCTGTCAATTTAGGGTTCTGGCTCTGTTTGTACAATCAAATCAAAAAAGTTTTATTGGCATAAATGTTAGTGTTACATGATTGATCAAGCTTTCTCACAGAAACTAAATTAACTTTTGCAGCAGTATTGGCTATACTGTAGTTGTGACCACAGTACTGGTGCCCCCACTCTGCTTGTGCCAAGTTACCTGGATGTGGTTCAGCTGTTTCAAACTTATCCTGGTTGCTTCCAGTGAGACAGTGGATTTCAAATGTAATGACAGCACTGACTGCCAAACTGTAAATAGCCAAAGTAGCAACAAAAGAAAAATCTGTTTGTTAAAGCTCATTGGCCATTTCTGCACAGATACATACTGGACCCCAGGAAAAAGCCCCACACCAATATCCAGCCCCCTTTCATCAGACCAGACCTCTCAGACAGACAAATCACCATCAGGGTGAGCGACAATGGCATCCACGGCACCATCGTCAGCTCCAGGGTGAGTTGTTCATAAATACTACTACGCTTTACTCCCCCAAAATAAGTGGGGCTTATTTCGGGGGAGGATGAGTATGCTTACAGGGATGAGGTGGAGCATTTGACAGTGTGGTGCAGGGAAAACAACTTGCTCCTAAATACATCCAAAACTAAGGAGCTGATAATTGATTATAGGAAGAAGGGAACAGATGTCTTACTACTATACATTAGTGGAGAATGTGTTGAGAACATGACCTGGGGAGTTAATGTCTCAGGACTGGTGAAAAAGGCCCAGCAGAGACTGCATTTCTGAGGATAAATGGTATTACGCAGAGGCTGCTGATGTCCTTCTATCGCTGCTCTATTGAGAGCATCTTCACTTACTGTATCTGTGTGTGGTACAGTAGGAGGGCGACTGTGGGTTCAGTGGGTAGAGTGGGCGTCTCCCAGCCGGAAGATTGGAGGTTCGAATCATGGTGCCTGTAGTCCACATGTTGAAGTCTCCTTGGGCAAGACGCTGAACCCCCAAGTTTCCCCTGATGGTTAGAGCCATCAGGGTGAGTTGGCACTGCAGATGGCTGCCTCGGTTCTGCACCGGAAACAAGTGTGTAACATACTTGGCCAAATAAAGTGATTATCTTTATCCTACTTGTACAGTGGCCCAGAGGACAGCGCCCCAGAGGGTTATTAATGTCGCACAAAAGATTGTTGGCAGCCCCTTTCCTTCTCTGGAAGAACTACACAGCTTCCGCTGTCTCAAAAAAGCTCATAACATTGCAAAAGACATCACCCTGGTCATGGTTACATGATTGATCAAGCTTTCTCACAGAAACTAAATTAACTTTTGCAGCAGTATTGGCTATACTGTAGTTGTGACCACAGTACTGGTGCCCCCACTCTGCTTGTGCCAAGTTACCTGGATGTGGTTCAGCTGTTTCAAACTTATCCTGGTTGCTTCCAGTGAGACAGTGGATTTCAAATGTAATGACAGCACTGACTGCCAAACTGTAAATAGCCAAAGTAGCAACAAAAGAAAAATCTGTTTGTTAAAGCTCATTGGCCATTTCTGCACAGATACATACTGGACCCCAGGAAAAAGCCCCACACCAATATCCAGCCCCCTTTCATCAGACCAGACCTCTCAGACAGACAAATCACCATCAGGGTGAGCGACAATGGCATCCACGGCACCATCGTCAGCTCCAGGGTGAGTTGTTCATAAATACTACTACGCTTTACTCCCCCAAAATAAGTGGGGCTTATTTCGGGGGAGGATGAGTATGCTTACAGGGATGAGGTGGAGCATTTGACAGTGTGGTGCAGGGAAAACAACTTGCTCCTAAATACATCCAAAACTAAGGAGCTGATAATTGATTATAGGAAGAAGGGAACAGATATCTTACCATTATACATTAATGGAGAACGTGTTGAGAGGGTGTCAGACTTTTGCTTCTTAGGGGTCCACATTGAGGGGGACCTAACCTGGGGAGCTAATGTCTCAGGGCTGGTGGAAAAAGGCCCAGCAGAGAATGCATTTCCTGAGAGTTCTGAGAAAGAACGGTGTTATGTAGAGTCTGCTGATGTCCTTCTATCACTACTCTATTGAGAGAATCCTCACTTACTGTATCTGTGTGTGGTACAGTGGTTGTACGGTGGCCCAGAGGACAGTGCTCCAGAGGGTTATTAACATCATACAAAAGATTGTTGGCAGCCCCTTTCCTTCTCTGGAAGAACAACACAGCTCCCGCTGTCTCAAAAAAGCCCATAACATTGCAAAAGACTCATCTCACCCTGGTCAGTCTTTGTTTGAACTGCTGCCGACAGATCAATTAAAACGAGGACAAACCGATTTAAAAAGAGCTTTTACCCAACTGCAGTAATGGCATTAAATGCTGAATAGACAACAAGGAATGCATGCTTATTATGCTTTGGGGGGTTATTGTAGCATTGTATGTGTATATGTTGTATGAGTTTTTAGCTAGTTTACTTTAGTTTTTTATTGATAGGGTTTATGTGATTGGATGGGTGAGACACTGTCAGGATGGCTTTTAAATTTCGTTGTACATGTTGCAATGACAAATAAAGTTTAACTTTAGCTTTCTCTGGTATTCCAACATCTGAGCCCTTTTCTAAGGTGATGCTTACACTTTACTCCCATAGTCTCATGTCATACAGGGTGTATACCCCATCTTGTTCCTGGTTTCCCATTTTAAAGCTGAGACATACACATGGCAGCAAAGTAAGCTGAAACAGTAGCTAAAATGTTTCTTCATGTTAACTTCAAGTTACACTTAAATGGTACTTTCATTCTAAAGTATGGCTTAGGTTTTAGATCGATGCTTTTACCTGTCAGGCAGTCTCGCTGTATACAGGGTTTGGTATTACATGTAAAAACACATCTGGAACTTAAATAGAAAAATGTCCCATAAGACTATTGACTAAAATATTATCTGATGTTCAGGTTTAGTCAGTGGTTACTTTTCTGCAAGCATACAGTGAATATAGGGGTACATCACATGTCTCTTACAAGCACTGTCGTTTCCCTCATTTGCTTCTGTTCCTTGTCTTAGGCCTGCCCACGTAAGCTGCGTGGAAAACGCATGAGGAGCTAGGACACAAGAAAACATTTTTTACTGACATGAGATGTCCTTTCCTCAGATCCTTCATCTAAGTGCCCAATCACCAGCTGATTTCTGAAAAAAGGGGCGTGTCAGTTCACAAAAAACTTCCATGAATCCTCAGTCATGGCTCCTCCAGCACCGTCCCTGCTCCTTGGTCCTCCGAGCAGATATAAGAGACTTGCAACGTCTACTGAGGACGTAGGAATGGTCTTATAATAGACATGAGATGTGCCCCATGAAATTTAGGAACTCCACCAGTTTTATACATAACTACCAGTTTTTATAGTCTCTATACAGGTCTTGAGGTGTTCTGCTGCATAAATGAAAGAGGTTTCCTTTTGTGGCTCCAGAGGGAGCTGTGTAAAATATGACAAACTGCCTCAAGTCTGATGTCATTTGAGTTAGCATCAGCTGAGCCCGAGGACTACAGGATGAAAAAAACTGAGTGTCATTTGAGTTAGCATCAGCTGAGCCCAAGGACTACAGGATGAAGTGTACAGACAGAAACAAGTGAACTTAGTAGACCTCAAAAGCCTGCTCCTCATCTTTGCTTGAGGCTAGCAGCTGTTGGCTGTGTTAGCTGCTACTAGCATAACACATCCAGATCTCTGACTGAACTGTCGACGATCATTTTATACATAAGTGGTTGGTTTTGATGAGGAAGACGAATGTGTGAAAAGAAAAGACAGTATCTTTGATACCTCTGCATTGATTTTTATTATTATTTTGGAAAAGCGGTCAATCACTAGTCCAACAGTGTTATAGAAATGCAAAGCTAAGTCAGGTTGGAAGAGAACCAGTGGAAGTCAAATCAAGCAGCTGCCTTGCTACCTACAGCCCTGTGTAAGAGATGTATTGGTGCATCTCTAACAGCAACACTCGCTCTTCTCTGTTACATCTGCTGCTCCCCCACCTGTTCTGGATGCTTTTAACACCTTGCTCTCCTCCCTGTAGTCCAAAAGCAGCCTGGACGGCCTGGATGACAAGGAAACCCAGCCACCACTTCCGCCCAAAGCCGAAAGGTACAACCAGCTGAAAAGCCAACTGACCTCCAGTGAAGGTAAAGAAACACAGAAACACAGCATCTGTGGGTTCACCAACTCCCTCTCACCTCTCTGTCTCTCTCTCTCCTGTCAGTCATCATCAATTCCTCCAAATGGCACCTCCCAAACTCCCTCTGTAGATCACCAGTGTGGCAGTGTGGGACTTGGTGCTAATTCAGCCTGATAAATGTCTGTCCCAGTGGCAGGTCGATAGCCATTTTTATGCTGGGCCAGAGAATAAGCGTGATTTGTAGCAATGAGGCAAGCCCTGTACAATGAATCAGCATCAGGTTTGTGGTACGATGGAGAGCTCAGAGTGAATCACTGCAACATGAATCACCACCTTTTTTTCTGGTGTTGTGTAGCAGTGGAGCTCTGCCAAGTGGAGAGAGGAATAGGGTCTAGAATCACGACTCTAATTAACTGCCTTCTGTAGTCATTGGCATGATTCAGGAGCTGTGAAAGGTTTTACAGCTAAAGGTGTTAGCCAGTAGTATATGTAATATACTTTTATACTGCTGGATTCACTAATATGAAGTGTCAATAATATTTAGTGTGAAGCTTCAATAGCAGGTTCCCTCCAGAGGATCTCCAGTGTCATGGTGCATTATGTCAGGGAGGGAATGCTCCCTGCTCGTCCATGGACCACTACCACTGCCTGGTGGTACTTCAAAGTACTGCAGGTGGTCCAAATGGATTCGTTTTTTTAAAAAACAATTCAAAGGACTTGTGATTTGTGGAAGTACGAGTGCCTTCCCTTTCCCTCAGAAACACTTATGTGCCAGAGCACAGGAGCAGCTGCAAAGAAGCGCCTTGGGGCCTCATGCTGTCTTACCATGAGGTCTTGTCTTTTCACCCTGAAACAACTTTCATTCAGCGCTGTGCCATTTCTGTTAACACCACAGTATTAATTCTATTCTTCTTTTCATGTCTGTGTTGTAGAGAGTTCTCTTTCAGGTAAAACACACCCTTCCACTCCAGCCATGTACAAATTCAGGCCGTCCTTCGGCACCATGCCCAAAGTCCACTACCACACTGCTGGAGAGAAGGTAAGACATGATTAGTTTAGCACTTATGTATGAGAAGCATTCTTAATGTGGTGTCGTCATTATTATGATGCTGTGTTTAGTGGTTCCACCTTTAGTCATGGGTTTACTGCCTGCTGCTGCAGTAGCAGTTAAAGTAAAGGATTTCATTCACATTTCCACCAAGATTTGACGAGTTATTGTGCTGTCTGCTCCACAGATTGTCATGCCAGATGACCAGAAGAATCCGGCCATCCTGGAAGAGGGTGTCCGTGGTCATGACTACAGATCTGAGCCAAATCTGGACATGCCCGAGTACACCAATGCTCCCCTCCACCGTACCTTCCAGTCCTCTCCCCTCCAGCTGGACTCCGACCCCATCAACTCTCGCTCTCTCAGCCTGAAGCAATGGCAGCCTGTCTTATGACAGCCTCCTCAACCCCAGCACCTCCCCTGCCACTGCCAGTGAATGCATGGCTCATCGTAGCGGGCCCTCCATGGGGTTCCACTCACCCTACCTGCCCGCCAAAATTAGTCACGTCCGGGAACCTGAAATGCAGAGGCAGCAGGGCGCCCCCACTTACAGTCCAGTGATGCCACAAAGGGGTGTTGGCAGGCAGTCCCCTCACCTTAGGGACAGGGACCCATCTCCAGTGCGCTACGACAACCTCTCCCAGACCATCATGGCCTCCATCCAGGAACGAAAGGAGATGGAGGAGAGGGAGAAGCGGCAGATGCTACATGGGCGCTCTCAGACCCACATTTATGCCCAGGACTCTGGTGTGTTTGATGGGGGCTTTGGCCTACCCCCCAGTGCTTGCTGTCCAGATGGGTTTCGAGGCCCCGGCTCCAGAGGCCCAACCCCTCCAGCCTACGACGGCTCCAGGGACAACCTGATGGGGGTTGGGCTGGTTAATTATGGACAAAGAACCCCTGTGCTGTGCCATGCAGGCAACACGGTGAGCCGTGCTACCAGGACTTCATCCACTTCCCTGCACACAGATCACAGTAGCACCAACAGCAGCCAGAGCAGGGCCACAGGCCCTGAGGGCCCCTATCGTTCCCCGGCCCACCAGCCTCACTCCCCTGCTATGCCCCGATCCCCCTCCTACTCCCACCAGAAACTCTCCTACATCCGTGAGAGGACAGATTTGCCTCGCTTGGGGGGCCCAAGGTATGAATTCTGACGTTACCCTGGTGGGACTGCATGCATTGTGCTGAGCTAATGGGGACTGGTGGGCCCCACTGGAAAGCCTGCTCCATCTTATGGACACTGCCAGCAATTCATGAGCACTAGTGCACTAGTCCTGAGTCAACATGTAGCATTTGTATATGGTGTTTGGTATTCGTCTTCTGTTATGTCCATTTATCAGTGAGTTCTTTCTGGTGTGAATATATTATACCCTGTTCTAATTTATACATTTGTCTTTCTAGAAAATACCCATTTTGTATTGATTTATGACTGCCAGATAAATAAAGTTGTCTTTTTCTTTTGCATGTTTTTCATCTATTCATCTAGCATTCCCAAGCTTTTTGCTTCACTAATAAGTACTTTTTTTTTCCTCATTCACCAGTCGTACTCCATCTGCATGTTGCCACAACCTTTGTTTGGTTTGCGTTGAACCTCTGGTTGTTTGTGTTGAAACATTGTCTCTGTTCTTCTCTTTCCACTCAGAGAGGCCATGAAAGTTAATGGGCAGATGGACTGCCACCCCAGTGCCCAGGGTGCCACACTCAGCCCTAGCCGCCACAGTAACGTCAAAAAGGTGACTGGCGTAGGAGGCACCACATATGAGATATCAGTGTGAGCAGGGACACTGCCTCCCGCCTCCAAGGACATTAGCCACCCTGCTACAAGGAGATTCTCTCCTGTTATTTTTGACAAGTGGAGATAACAGCCAGTCAGGGGTATGCAGCACTCACTGCTTTGGAGGTCTTCAATCAGAACATCTGTCTGTTCCTGTGTGGGTTTGTCTAATCAAATGCCCATGTGTTTGTATTGGAGGGGGGTGGTTGTCAGGTGACACCACTGCCGGCTGTACTGTATGTGTGAGGAGTGTTTTGTCGTTAACTTTTTTGTGGCTCATCGTCTTGATCGTGAGTGTTGACCGTTCAACAGATCGTCAGTGTTATTCCTGTTGTCTCTCAGCTGTGGTCATGAAACCTACGTTATTCCAAATATCACAACAGAAACCTTGCTCCAGCAAAAGCTGAAGGCTGAGCAAATAAACACTGACATCTTTACTATGGACTTCTGTGAGGAGACACTTAATGTCCTTCCTGAGTCGGCTGACCTCCACAAGTTAAGGTGCTTCACATTGACCTATGCTGTTCATGTCATCTCCAGCATATGCGGCGGAATTGTACAGCTCTGAGAAGTGATGGAGGACAGATTAAGTTAGATTAACTGCAAGTGCAGCAGGAAACGCAACACGAGTAAGATGAGAAGCTAGTAAAGAGGATATCGGGGGGGGGATCATCCTATCGTGTCTGGTGGTTGCATTCCACATTCAGTGAGAAAGGCTTGCTATTAATTACAAGTAAAACTAACTTCACCTTTTATCAAAATGAATTTTCTCAGGAATGAATGCAAGCAGCAGAGATGCTCGTTATAAAATCATACATTATGAATGTCTCAGAGCGAATATTTAGGGCTCGAGTATAGCTTAGCCCCCTTTATTCCCTAC